TATATAATTAATTCTTTTCATTTTACATTTATCGATATAAGCCATATTTCTGTGATAGGGAATAAAAACGCCCTTGTACGTAGTTTCAGTAGGTAAACATTTCAAAACAATTCAAGGGAACACTGTAAAGAGGATTCGATTAATTTTCTAGTGATATCGCTGCTGATAACAGTGATCGCGTGTACGGCCATGGATCCGGGCACGCGTGTATATGCGTGTACGTGTGTATAATTCATCGGATTGCTTTGTTCCCAATATTTACATACAAGTTTTGCAATGTTGCACCAGTATACGTAGATGATACTTATATACATGTACTCGATTCTATTACTTCTTCCCGACTTCTTCCCAAAATCTAATCGATCGTTTGCTTTTGAATCTTTTTTCGCGCGCATCTCTCTGGTTCTTTTATCAGACTAAAGGTGATTTAGTATTAAAAAATGTTGTCGAAGATAGATCGAACGTATTACACCAAGTATCAAAGGTGTCAATTTAACGTAGTTAATCAACAAAATGACGCAAAGTAGCAACTTACATCGTTGGTTTTCATTTGGCACACCACTACGTCAATTATTTTGGTCAATATTTTATACCACGTAAGGTCGATAAAGTGGTTCCTGAAGTTCGGTCGTGTTTCTCGGTGTTTCTTGTAACGTTCCCTTGGTATCCTCTTGTGGACTCGGTGAATTTGAATTCGGATGATCACCGCCGGTTTCTCTCTCGTTATTCCTCGTATTCCCTCCATCTTCGACCTTATTATTTGTCCGCGCCTCTTGTTGCGCCTTTTTACTTCTTTTCCATTTCATTCGTCGATTTTGAAACCAGATTTTCACCTATACATTTCAACACACGTTGCTCGTGTATAAAAATAAGAAATAATATTGATTATCAATGAAATATCGCGTGGCGATACGTACGAACGAACGAAGAAGTATCTGAAAGAAAACGAGTAGACGGATAGAGGTGGGATTAAGACGGGGAGAAATAAAAGTGTAAGAAAGGTGAAAGAACGAAGAGGACAACTTTGTGTGTATCGTTAGATAGATAAGTTAAAAACAATGAATGAAGAAAAATAAAGAAAAGCGGTTTATAAAGTTTATTTTTGTTAATAATTGGATAAAAGAAGAAAATATGGCGTCAAATTGTGTGTTGGAATAGCGAAAAATCGTGTTAACGCATAACGCGCCATATTCGACCCTTGTAATCGCGGCAAGTATACCATCGACTTGATATTTCCTTTCTCAATCCCGCAAGAAAACCATGTGTAAATCCTTTGGACAACATATCATGCGTTTCAACCTACCCGCTTTCTCATTCCCGACCCCACTACATTTTCTCCCTTCTAGACAACAGACGTGCTTCTCCCGTACGATGATAGATTCGTATCACGAAATATCGGAATACGAGACGAGGAAAAATTCGGAAAAATTGGGAAGAATTGACCGAAAATGAGAAAATTAAGGAAAAGTTTTGTTGCAAACGAGAAAATTAAGGGAAAAGTGTAGTTGAAAGTTTAGTTGAAAGGGGGTAAAGAATGAACCGATTGGATTTGGATATTTCAATATTTAAATGCTACCGCTCTGTCGAATGCTTCTCATTGCTTCTGTAGTAGTAAGTAAATATGTACTTGCACGATAGCTGTGGAGTAATCTTTCGTCTTGATATTTCGAAGAAGAAAAGTTGGAAAAAGGAGATATAATGGATATAACGAGAACGACGCGCGATGCGTACCGCGTGTAACGTCCGGACAATTCAAAAGCTAAATGCAGCAAGTTGAATCAGTGGAATATCGAAACAAATCAAGGACTCAGTCTGCCATAATTCAGACTTTCGTTACTATTTGCCGAGCGATCCGTCAGAACACGTAAGCTTGAAAGTTATGCTTAAGTCGTTGAACTATGCAAGAGATTCGCTTGTTCACGCTTATGCTGGTAAAGGAGAAGGATCCTGGATGGATTATTTCGCCGATTTCTCTACAGGCCTTCTTCTTTCCTTTATTCTTTCTAGATACCTCTTTTCATCTAGGCTTTTCGCCACTACTGTAATCTCAAAGTAGCATAATTCCAAAGTACATATCATATTAAAACGATAACAGCGAAGAAAGAAACAGAGAGAAGCGAGGAAGAAGGAAGTTGGAAAGAAAAAAAGGAAGGGATAAATAAAGAAAGGAAAGGCGAATTAGTTAAGGTATCGAATTATCAATTAAGCTATCAATTAGGATAGATAAAATACAGATAAAGCAGCTTTTACCTGTGTTTCCGTGAGCATTAACGAGGTAGCAACTTCGAATCTCTTTGGTCTGCTGAGGTATTTGTTCTGCCTAAATTGTTTTTCCAGTTCGAGCAGCTGTTGCGACGTGAAAGCGGTTCTCGGCCTTCTTGTCTTCCCAAGCAAGGCATGCTGGGCCGCGCAACCTATTGATGATAATTATACATTTGTGAGAAACATATTATAACAGTTATTTAACGCGCTTCGCATACGTATGTATCTTTCGTGAAAGAAAAATCTTCTCCAACGGACATAAGAAATAATCGGTATATCGATGAACGTTATATATATAATAGATAATCCTAGTTGGAATTAATACTAATCGTAGGGAGAGACCAATAAAAATCATTGAATGCTAATGCAATTACCGCAAGTGTAAATCCTCCTCCCCTCTCTCCCCATTTTCTCTCTCTCTCTCTCTCTTTCCCCTGCCCTCTTCGCCTGGCTTACAATACTATGATTTGGGGTTGAAAATGGGGATGGTGGAAGGACAGAAGACGAGGGTGACCGCCCTAACGATTAGCCCTATGAACGGGTCTCTTGGCCAGACCCGATTTTCTCTCCTTTACGACTTTGTACGAACGATAAATCAAAATGAAATTTGTCCTTGGTGAAACGAACAAGGTTAATGACACATGGTTCGATAGCTAGTAGAAGATCGTCAATGTCAAATGCGTATAATTGCGCCAGTAACTCTTTTATTCGAGTTGCGTAAAAAGTTCCAATTTTTTCGAAAACTTTGCCCTTCGGTATCGAGTACAGAATCGTAGTTTCGTTCTATATATTTCGACTTTTCTTTCATCAATTTCTTTCATCTGATTACAAATAAGCTAATAATTAGATAACGCATTTCTTTTTCTTTTTCTTTCTTTCTTTTTACTCATCCTACACGTAAATCCGTATATATACAAGAGAGTTATATACGTTGAAGTTAAATGCACCGGATGTAAAAATACGGATGCGGTTCACCATACCTTTTCCTTCAATTGCTTTCAATGCTCGCTATGTGTACCCTAACAATTTAACTATATAGCAAGTGCGTGACCGGCTGTCAATGTTTGTACACATGGCAGTGTTTAGTCGCGCGTACACTTAGATTAATCTGGAACGTGCGATACCCTTATGTCGCTGTTAATCAGCCGCTTAGTCAAACATTCGACACTCTGTGGGCCTGTTTCGTTTTTCCGCCTTAGGATGTTGACCGATCGCAGCGACGATGCATTCGGATGTCACGAAATACCTAATAACTTTTCTCTGAAATTTTTCCAGGCAGACAGTTTCTATTCTTTTCCGTATAATAATTAAAATTTCCGTAAAAAAATAGGAAGAAAATTTCGCGTGAAACGAATGAAAATTAGCATTAAAACGTATGTAGGGTGTAGATATCGAAACACTGTAGCACCGAAACTGTAACTCGCATTAGGTACTTTGAAATGTATGCGGTGGATAGTTTGGCTTTCGTTATTCGTGTCACTTGGTAGACGTATTAATCATCGGTGCGAAGGATGGTTTGCCACCCGCTGTGCACATATGGTTCGTTCCATGATTTTCCTCCCCGTCGTTTCGCGTAACAATTATAGCAGCCGAACTATTGCTTCTATCTCCTCGATTTATTTTCCGCGATACGTTACCACGCTACCACGCTACCACGTTACCACGTCAGCACGTCAGCACGTGTCTCTTGGTTAAACCGAATCCAGGAACGAATAATAACGCGAATGGATAATCGCGTTCGTTTATATTATATATTTATAATAGGCGAATGATGCGAGAAAGAAACAGTTTCCGAATCTTCCGTATCTTTTTCCAAGCCTATTCCGCCTGTTACTCTGCCTATCACGGATGATTATTTTCCTATAAGGAGAACAGTTATCGGAACAGTCAATAGAAATGCAAAGGTCGATCACGAGGAAGGAAGTTCGCTCTCTATTGGTATTATTTCGTAACATTTTCTTGGTTCATTTTCATGAAAATCGATTTTTTCGATTTTTTCGAACGACAAAGCAAAAGCATCGAGATATAGGATGTTGGGAAGCCACTGAAATTGCGCGAATGCGAAGGTGCTAGGGAGAAATGGTGCGAGTTATGACAGATGTCGGTAAACAAGGAGGGCGGCACCATCGAGTGGACAATCACCATTTTCGTGCTCCTCTGTGCAGAGTAAAGCAGTGGGGTGCCGTTAAGGTTAACGTCGTTCTCACCCCGCTACACTTTTATCATGATAATTTAATTTATTTGGGGTCCTATTAGCCGCTTCACGCCAGGCCGCTCTTAAATCATGCTGATCACCGTACCAGTAAACACTAGCCATTATCTGTACTTAACGCAATTCTATCCTGCTATTCTTCATATTCCCCGCCATTCTCCCGCTTCTCTTCCCCCTCTTTCTTCCTCTATATCACCACATTTTCCATTTACACTATCCATACTATCTGGTAGAATCACTTACAACAAATACGTACGCTTTACTTCCTTTACTAGTACCTTTCGATTCATCTTTTCTTTTTTTTCCTTTTCACCGTCGCGTCTCGATATCACCTGACAAAAAAAATAAATACAGCTATGGCAATTTAGAGCCTTAGCTGTAGCTACGGTAGATATTTATACGCATAAGTAGGTACTTACATATAGCAAAGTTCTATACCCGACTAGACGTCTGCCATATAGATATGGCTGACTACCGTTTAAATATCATTACCGTCTAATTAATGAAATTACGCATGTATCACATCTGCATACGTCTATGTTAATGGTCGATCATCTTGCAACGTTTGCGGCTCAGTTGCTTTCCTTTGTTACTTTTATTCTCTCCTTTTGCAATTGCAATTTTCAACTTTCCCTCCTTTTATTTGCTCCTCGTTCTCTCATCTTCTCATTCTCTCATTCTTTAGATTCATTTCAAGTCGTCTGTATGCTTCGTAGTTTGGTAGTTTCGTATTCTTACTCGCGAGTCCATTCTCGTTCTCCTCGTTTTCGTTTTCCTCCTTTCCCGGTTTCTCTCGGCGATGGGTGTGAACAGGCGTGCGTGCGTTCGTGCGTAAGCGTGTTGGCGCGCGCGCGTTTGTACCAGATCTTGCTCCCTCTCCTTGTCTCGTATAGCAGCGGAAGCTCCGCCTGCAGCCCTGAGTGCTCGATACGGTCCGCCCCCAAATTCTCAACCCCTCGTATCAGTGGTGAACGAAGACGGGCGAAGGGTAACGTTGGCGGTATCCACCATCCCTCTACAGCCTTGATCGCGAGACGTCATCGACTCCGCTAGCCAACTTTTGTCAGAGATTATTTTCTCTACCCAAAATGGTTGGATTTAATTTCAAACCCGCTACGTGAATTCACCACGAATCACGTCATAAACATCCAAAACGTTCGCATTTACTTTTATCATCGTGCTACTAACTGGAATCGTTTCGCATTTTCTTCTCTTTCCGTTAGACGGTGGTGATGGTGGTGGTAGTAGTAGTAGCAGCAGTAGCAGCAGCAGCAGCAGTAATCATCAGTATAATCGACGATTTTACGCATTAGCATTTTCACGCCATTTCTACACGATTACCATCTTACATAGCTATTCATTTAAAACGATATGTCATTTGAAAAGGAAATAATTCGGTTATCTCGCCTCTCTCTCTCTTCTACTACTTTTACTTCTTCCAAAGGTGATAAACGAATAAGCCGATAACGTATCGTCTCGTTCTATTTCGTATACGGCTAGCATATACGGCAGTATTTATGTATATGCGAGACGTACTATATGCACGCGCAAAGCTGTGCCATCGCGATGCCATTTGCACGCGTCCGTGTGGCTACGGTGCGATCAGACCAGATCATAGAGATATAGGATGGTTTGGGCGAACGTGAAACGTTACACATCGGGTAACCAAGATCTGTTTGCTTGCGGGCGGCCAAACTAGCTGGCAGCTAATTCAGAAACACCATTACCGCCTACATGCCTATAGACAGGTAGACTGACGCGACCGCTACTGCTAACGCCACTAGACGTTTTCACCGTGTTTCCATGTATCTATACTAACGTTTCTATATACACTCGGTGCAAGCGTATCCGATTTCTATGTACGTATCGTGCGTGTCTGCGCTTTCGTTTCAGTAGCTACATTACCATCTTTCCTATATGCATAGGAAAGTAGGATTAATTGCCGGTACCTACCACGTTCCTCAACTGCCATCCACCGTATCGTACACAATTGCGTAATACGCTGTTATCGTAATCGTAACCGCAATCGTAACCGCAGTCGTAACCGCAATCGTAACTGTAACCGTAAACGGTATACGCACGCGTGTACACCTACACTTAAACGCGATTACACCGTAATTATTATCAAATATTTCAAATTATGCCAACTTATCGCTATTACTTGTTTCTCTCTTCCACTTTTCTTCTCTTTCTTCCCTCCCCCCCTCCCCCGCTATTTCCACCTTTCCTTCTTTCTTTCATTTCATCTTTTCCTTTTTTCTTTTTTTTCTTTACAACCAACGGCAAAATACAATGACAAAATAGCGGCTAATAACGTTAAAGAATATTCTTAGAAAAGAAGATTATAGATAAAACCGATTTGCGTTCATTGGATTGTTTCAAAGACGAGGAAAATTAGCTGTCGAAACGGTCTATGTAAGTCTGTGGAGTTTCCATGGCAACCTTAGACCGTCTGCGTCGGCGTTATGCTATCGCGGAGAGAAGGGTGAAGGGGATGAATAGACGGATGAATGACGCACAATTAACTAATTAAATCATCCACCAACCCTTCGCGTGCTTCATCTCTCGGGTATCATCCCCTTTTGTTGGCAGACCTCCTACCATCTCTTCGACATCTTCCGCCATTATTTTTTCTTCGTAATTCGTAAAGCGAATCTCACTCCGCTCAGCCTTGGTGAACTGAGAGGACGAAAAGTCGAAGGGAGAGCGCAACCAAGTTCGGACATATCGAGTGCGAAATAATAATATATAAGAGCTTTGGAAGGGAAGTATTTAGAATATGCATTTAGAATATTTAGAACAATAGGATAGAAAAGATAAAAATCTTCGGCGCATGGATGAAATAGACGCGGTCATTGATATCTAAACAATTTAATAAACAATTTTTTAACGAATAGCATTATTACGTTAGGCGAATAATAATTATTCGTCGAGATATCGAAGAAAGATGTTAGTCTTAAGAACAATTTCGTGTCGAACATTAAGCATTATCGATATGGTGCAAGTTGAAAAGTCGTTTCGGACGATTTTCATTAATCCGAATGCAAACTGGTATCGCGTGGGTGGACACGCGGGGATGCGAGAAGCAGTTTTTAGTGTACACGAGGCAGAGATATCGGGATTTGGGATACACCGAGGGTGGAAGATCGCGAAATACGCGCAGCCACGATATTGCACTAGTTAAATTTCGATACTGCAAAGCTCGACTCAAAATAGATGAAACATGGTGTTGTCGGAATATCGTCGTCGGTATAACGTGCGACAAATATTCCACAAATAAAAGCTCACATCTCTTGCTTTCACCCTCTCTCTCCCTCTCTCCCTCGCTCACCCTCCTCACTCTCTCTCTCTCGCTCTCTCTCTCTCTCTCGCTCTCTCTCTCTCTCTCTCTCTCTCTCTCTCTCCGTGTCAGCTTACCGCGCCGAGCCGCTGAGTCGCGTACTCATCGTTATTTACATAACGTCGAGAGCATACGAGAATTCGAGGCTACAGGCGTGCGCGTGAGAGAGAGAGAGAGAGAGAGTGAGAGAGGGGGGGGGGAGAGAGAGAGTCAGAGAGAAAGAGGGTGAGCAGGAGGAGGAAGAGGAGGAGGAGGAGGAGAAGGAAAAGGTAGAGGAGATAGAGGAGGTGGTGAAGGTGGAGGAGATGGAGGATTTGAAGGTGGAGGAGGAAAAGGAGGAGAAAGGGCTGAACGGGACGATACTCCCATCCAGCAATTTTTTAACAAGTCGTGTTCGTGTTCCCTACCGACGCGATAACGGCAGCTTCAGGTGGGGCTGAATGCAACCGTTTTATTTTATTCCGCGAGGCCGTTTTTTTGTACTCGTTGCTCGTTTTACGCTATCGGGTTTTCGCCTTTTTCGTCGACGTTGGATTGCTCGGCAACTACCAATCAGGATCATCTGACAGAAAGTACCCCGCACTTCGCTCCGAACACCACGCTCTCTCACTCTCTCTCTCTCTCTCGCTCGCTCGCTCGCTCACTCGTTCGCTCTCCTCCCTCTCACTGAAACACATACACAATCGCGTTCCGTTTACTCCCGTTCCTCCCCCATTTTTCTCTCTTTCCCACCATCTCGGCATCCTGGTCCGCTACGTTCACTGACCAATTTGTTCGATAAAAGCTTTCGACTGATTGGCTGGACAACGCGACCACTCTCTTTTTTCTAAGCGTGAAATTTACCGTGGTAGTAGTAACCGGAATCATCTCCTTTTCTTTTATACTCTTCATTATTCACCAGCTGTGCATCTCTTTCAATTTTTCCTTCAAGGTTTCCTCTTTTTTATTTCATTAATCGTTTCGTATTATTATACACTAACAATTTCCTCCTGTTTGCCGTCTAGTACAACAAGTATCATTCACAATCCTTGCTAACAGTTCTACAGCATTTCATAACATTTCTTATTTGCACTTTGAAATCTACCATATGTAGCTACGTAAGCGAACAGAAAATGTAAAAGCTATAACAATTCCTCGATATCGCTAGTCGTTGAACGCTCGAAAATGATCGACAAAGAAAATGTTGTATTTCGAAATAAACAGTGTCGTAGACCCTATACTCGCTTTCAACGATACGCTGCGAAACTTATTCCCTATATTATCATTTTGACAACCGACCTAAAAACTTGAGTAGCTAGTCAATATAGTACAGTAAAGAGTTACATTAAGCATGTAAACATTCGCTATCTGCCTATCATACGAGCAATCTGTCCATCTATTTTATGACTTTCTATATACTCACGTCAGGGTAATGTTGAATATTAACGAAGAAAAATTGTATATTACTTAGATACCGATACGTCAGTTTTAAATCCGAGATACTAATATCTACTTGGCTCGTTCCGTTGGTCTTTCGACGGATATAGAAAAGAATTATTTCAATATTTTCTCGTTCCTGCTAGCAAAGAAATAATTTTCTCCAACAAATTGGTCCAATAAATACATTGGAACATGCGAAAAAGCCGAATGAAATTTACCGTTAAAAGAGCGATACGATAACGAAGACGAGTCGTTATGCTAGATTTTTTCTTTTACCGTTTCTTCAGCTATCGTAATCGAATCTACTTCGATTCTTTATTAAACGAAGAAGGACAATGATCAAGTTAAATTGGCCATGTTATCGTTCGTCAATCAAGGTTACCATTAATACATGCGTAATTTCGGGTATAGTCACTTCCGCTCGATAGTTTATGCATAGAGAGGGGATGAGAGGTTGGGATAGAGGGTCGGCGGGCGGTGAGCTGAGGCTGTTGGAGAATAAGCATAATATGGGGATGAAATATGAGATAGTTTGCGATTTCAAAGTAAAGAAATCACTCGTTATCGAAAGTTTAACGAAAGAGATTAGCGAGCATTTCCTACTGTTGAGAAATGTCTTCGATATTAACGACGAGTGGAGACGAGTGGAGACGAGTGGAGACGAGTGGAAACGAGTGAAAACGAGTGGAAACGAGTGGAACGTTAAAGATATGTGCACGATTCGGTACATCGGTATAAAAATGTGAATGTAACCACTCGTATGTATTAATCGGTAATATGTATATTAAATGATATCGCGTAAATTAAGGATTTTTATGGGACGACCAACGTCACTAATCGACCAGACGGTTATATAGCGCGAATCAACGAATTAAGCGTGAAAGTTGGCGAGATTATTAACTCACCGGCCAAATCGGCGGGTAACCTGGGATACAACATTCCAGTTCTAGCCAACCACTCGAGTTGGAGTGGATGAATGTGATGCTGCTGAGGATGAGCAGCACCGGCACTCTGCGAATGTCCGACGGGTTGACTTTCCTTGTGTATCGAATGAAATGCGCTACCACCCGCAGGATGATAATATAATCCTCCGGGATGTATGAGGGGACCACTCGGATGCAAGAGAAGTGCTTGATTTTGTCGAGCTACTCCGGCACTACTGCCAAGTGCACTATAGTGGCCACTCGGCAAATTCGGATTACCAGGAATAACGTTGCTATTAGGTTCTTCCGAGCCTGGTGAAATTGGAGGACTCGAGACAGGACTGTGACTCGCGTTACTTCCCGAACTGGCGCTTCCCGTTCTCGTAGGTTCAACCTCGATCCCAGAACCATCGTCCTCTATATTTTCTAACCGATCGACTCGAAATCCTCCGTTACCGATCCCAACGTGTTCTCCCTTGAACGCTGTTTTATCACGTTGCATCGAAGCAGCCGTTTCTTCCACGGATTCTACACGAATACCGGACAAATGAGTAGTATCCCGTACGGACCGGTCACGAATATCTTGTCTCTCACTTCCTTCGCGAATAACTTCTAAATTCGATGCCGAGGTCAGACCATGTTGAACAACAGGTCTATCGAACGGGTTCAAAAGACTTCCAAGAGACGAGGTTCTTTGTTCCTCCGTTCTGCCAGTTCCGATATACGCAGTTCCATTCCCAACCCCAACTCCAACTACAACTCCACTTGCAATTTCAGTTTCACCTCCTGCGCCAGTACCAATGTTGGCACCAGTACCAGTGCCGATACCAGTGCTAGTACCAGTGCCAGCACCAGCGCCAGTACCAGTACCAGTACCGATATCAATGGCAGAAGCAGTACCATTGGTGGTACCAGTACCGGCGCCGGTACCGGTACCGATACCGATACCGATACCGATACCGATACCGATACCGATACCGATACCAGTGCCAGTACTGGCACCAGTACCAGTACCAGTAGCAGTACCGGTACCGGTACCGGTACCAGCATTAGTACCAGTACCATTAGCACTACCAGAATCAGTACCAATACCAGTACCAATACCAGTACCAGTAGCCGCAACGGTAGCTCCACTTACACTACCGATAGGAGTGCAAGAAGAGTCTCGGTCATGACCACGAACCAAGGAGTTTGTCAAACAGGGGCTCACATCGATGACGGAATTTCGCGTTCCGAATAACAATCTTTGATTCCGTTCCGATCGTTCGTGATCAGGGCTTTCCTGTTTTCCAGTTGCTCGACCGAGCAGCGCATCGATGCAGAAAGATGTTTTGCCGAAGGATCCGTGACGTCTGTCGGTCGAATGAACAGCATATTCTTGTGGAGAGATTCTGCCAGGCGAATTGTTCGATTCTCTGTAGTGACTGGCCACCGCGGATACCATTTCCTCCGTGAAACACCTTATACTAACATCTTCGGGATCTCGAAAAAAATTTGTCGATTCGTTTTCCTGCTTCGAGAAGGAAGGTCTTTTCGCGTCATGCCCTTCGCGATACCTCGACATTCGCGATTCGTCTTCGAGCTCCGAGGAAGAGCCGTTTTCTATGAAACCTATATTTTCCACAGATCCAACTGTCTCTTCTCTCACTTCGGAACCGGGTGATCGCACTTCATCCGATCTCGGTGAACAACTTTGACCACGAATCTTTTCTCGTATACCGTAAACGTTATTTTGACCCGTTTGCTGTTGCCGTCGTTGTTGTTCCTGTTGATGTTCTTGCTGTCGCTGTCGCAAGTACGAGTCTTCGAAAATTCCTTGAGCGTTGTAATGCATACCTCCTGGTGCGTAGTAATGAACAGTGCTTTAGATCGATTAGTTAGCACATGCTATTCTTACTATTTCTTCGCAAACCCTTTCACCACCACTATTTTCCGATCAATTATATACCACTTGGAATTTGGACCGCGTTCGTGTTCCTTCACTGACTCTGCCACAAGATTCGATCATCTACGGATAGATATTTTCAAGTACCAATAGATATCCCCGATCGGTAATCGATCAATAGCAGATCGATGGCCGATCGACTTCCGATCGGCGTACGGGACTCGATCGATCGATCGAACGACCGCACAACCGACCGACCGACCGACCAACCGACCGATCAACCGGCCAATTAAACAATGTTACCCTTTAAATTCCGATCGCTGACCTGTTCGATTACACGACCTGATTATTATTTTACGCAACCGTTTCTTCGATCGCGGCAATTCGTGTTTCACCGACCGACGATCGTGTGTTCGTTTCCAGTGACGGGCGCGATCAAACACCGGTTTTGATTTCCCGGCAATACGAGCGATTAGCTCGACGCCGCACCACAAAGTGACGTCGCGAGGAACCGCGTGTCCGTAACGGGAAAACCGCTCCCCTCTGCAACTGCGTTACCGCGGTCAGTCGATTCTGCCACGCCTATCGCGGCAAACCTCGCGGTTCTGCCACGCCTACAGCATCCCCTGTCTTCCGCACTGTCCTCTCCGCCGCGACCGTACCCCGCCGCCAACAGTCCGCCTCCCGCCGCCGTCCTCCCGACCCGCCGCCCCTCAGCCCGTGAACCCGACAACCGGCGGTTGCAGGCCTCCGGTATCGAGTTCCTCGTATCACCAAGTCCCAAATTCCGAGTCACGATTCACCATTTCCGATTCCCGATTTCTTCCTCTCGCATTCTCCCGGTCCTCTCCATTCTCCATCCCTTACGATTCGCGTGATTCGACATACGTTATTCACTGCTTTCGATTCTCGATTTCCAGTTTCCGATTCCCGATTCGCGCGAGCAATCGTTGAGGATTCTCTATCCTGGAATCCCAGTTTTATCAGCCCTTACGACCGATTCCGACCAGTCACGACATCCCGAATTGCTTGGCGTCCAGTATTCCATTCCCAGATGCCGGATTTCTAATTGAACCTATTGCGTATGAAAATATCGAAACAGGCAAGTTTAAAGATTAAGAGAAAAACGCAAACTGGAATCAATTTGCGTGACAACTTGGCAAGGAGTAGAAAAGATTCAACGAAAATGACGATCAGCGGGATAGAGACAGATAGAAGCATGGAAAACGAAAACAGAAAAAGACAAAGAATCCTCCCTTTGCCAGATTTTCCTCCAATCCAACAACGACAAGCATGGAATACGCGCGTACTAAGAAGAGCCGATATGTATTACAGTTCCTGCCACGCGATTGCTTGAAAGAAAGTGCAGATTCGTTTATACATCTCTCTCTCTCTCTCTCTCTCTCTCTCTCTCTCTCTCTCTCTCTCACAGAGTACACGGAAATTAAGTACATTTTACTAGTGTATTCCTTTCATGATTTTTCCAAACGAAATATCGCTGATATATCTGTCGCTTTATCGAGCAGCTAATAGCCGCGTAATAGGTATCACACCCAGTTTTCGAGTAATCGGTCTGTTATCGGTTGTCGTGCGATATTTTATGTGGGTCCTACGACGCATTTGCTTATCCTACTGATAAAATGTCTATTCGTTTTTAACGCGTTTATTCTGACATATCTAGTTTTCTCGAATATCGTTCCCTTATCGATACATCGATTTCGATTCTTACTAAACTCACAAAGTTTGGAAAAAAGGAAAAAATTCAACGGAGAGACAGGTGTGGAGATTCCGACAGAATAATACAATATTTCTTGTGTCACGTTTTATTTTAAAAAATGTTCTCTTATTGTATCTATGAATGTATTATGTACATATGTATATGGTGTTAATCATTATCTTATTTACAACTGCTTCGATGATGTATTTTCTTTTCTGTCGATTAAGAACAATAAACATTTTACTACCATTTTCGCTAATAAATCAATTTATTTTCATCGGGAAATTTATATGGATAAACTATTTGCGCGTAAAAGAATGATAGATCACCGTAGCTTTCACTCTTGTTGTGATTTCTTGTATACCTACCCTTCGCAAATCCGAACAACCGTAACACAACCGAATACGAGTCGAAGGCAAACGGTAAAAGTTCACCGACGACCACTTTTCAACCAAATAACAGAGAGGGAGGAATATTTACTTTAGGATCGAAGCACGTTCAATGTACATATAATATAATATAAACACGCGCGCGCGCGTAACACACACACACACAAAGATATATATATATATGCAAGATAACAATTTTTTTAGCGTTTCTCCTAATTTACCGATCGATCCGTCCATGTGCATCATACAAGAAAATAGATGGACGGATCGTATTTTGTTTCCTCTCTTCGATAAACGTTATTTTCCTTTCCCATTAAAATATTTCCATCTATTATAGCATCAACATCAGTCGCATTGTTCTTTCTGTGTTTCTAATTCGGAAGTTTCCTTTCTATCCGTTTAAATAATCGATACGTCAGTCAGAACAATTACAGATGTGTAACGATGTACAAGTCGCTTCATAGATGATTTTCCTACCTAATCAACATACACTTAATATACACGCGCACGTACATATATCGCAGGTAGCACCCTTCCACCTCGACCGACGGGCAAACACAAAGATTTTTCAACCAATGCTTATGTATGTATCTATATGCGTCGTCACGATAAACTAAGCTTATTTTTCCCTCTTGCCTCGGCCTTCGAGATTGAAGATCGAATGGAAAACCAAAAGTTCCCGAAAGCTCGTCTATGCTTTTAAAATCTATAGTTAGCTATCGTTAACTCTACGATTATTACTTACTCGATTATTCGGTTAAATAATTATTATAAATAAGTATTACAAGCAAACTAGCACTACGAACGATCGTTACATTTTACTTATTACTACGAATTACTTATTATGTACTTACATACATATATACATGTGTACTTACGTAAAATACCTCTTTGTAGAAACACCTACGTCTGGTACAAAGTTCAATTTACTAAACTTAAACGGTCGATAAGTATAATTGGTGGATCGTCGTAACTTTCACACATATTTAACGATAACAATTTAGGACAAATATCGTCTATAGCCTTCTTATCCTCAACTCAAAAGTAATTAACAATTTGATGGTTAATTCATCTGTCCTTATCTCGGGGACAAGATTGCTTGATCAACACTCCGATTTGGTATCGCCGGTAATAGATAAATCTTAATTGGTGTCATGTATCGATTGAGCATTGTTTCGTGTATATGTAAATGTCGTTAATCATACTTTATCCCCTTTGCTAGATTTCGTTTAAATTAAACGGTTCAAGTTTCGATTTCGGTTCCGGAATACGCGAAACACGCGAAATAAGTATGAAACGTAAAAAACGAAACCGGTAACTCGAAACTCGAAACCCGAAACCCGAAACCCGAAACCCGAAAGGTGTAATAATCATTTGATAATGTGTAATGTATCGGTGATATAATAGGCATTTACAGAGATTTACCTAAAAACCATTCTAAATTGATATGATGGGTACAGATAGGTAGTATATACATACACGTATATTTGGAATTCTCACGTTAGTCACGTTACTCTATCTTTCGTACTCACTTTCGAGTCATTATTGTTGAATAACGACATTCGATCACGAACGATTCCATCGACATAAAATTAGTTTACGTAACTGATATATACTCGCGTAATATAATCGTTTCGTCTCTTTACGGGTAATAATTTCCCAACATCCCAAGCTTTCCTTTCCATTTCCTTTCCTTTATTTTTATTTCTTTTCTTCCTCTTTTCTTTTTCTTCCACTCCTTTTTATTCCCCGATCTATTCCTATTTATTCCTATTATTTCCGATTCTTTCACTCTCCGACTCTCACGGCTGAGGTCTATCTCCTAATTAGAATCTTCCGGCCCCCATGTGGCCGCATCGTCAAGTTCGGCCCTCACCGCCCATTACTTTTAATGGCGTTGTTAATGAAACTAGGTGTCGCCAAATTAACCCCTCGTTTCAGCAATGCTCAACCGAAATTGAAAACTATATAGTACCTCAGTGTGGGAAAACAATTTCATTTCAAGTTCATAATTTATCGTACATACAACGTAGACGCGTAGAACACTTGGAACGAAAGCTTCGGAAGCACGCAGTCGTATTTGCGATCGAATACAGTTGCAAATTATCGATCTTACGATCTTATCGTTATTCAAACCTTATCCGCGTTGGATAAAATCAAATAGGAGAGAAAAAGAGTATGAGTAAAGTTGGAGAGAAAATTAAATAGGAGGCGTAATATAAAATGAAAGAAACAGAATTGTAAAAGAAGGCACGATGTGTGTAAGGTGAAACAAGTACGCTACGTTTGAAAACCACTGGCACTGGCTGATTACCGCGGTAACCATCCCCCGAGCGCCAATTAATCTTAACTTTTACGGGGCAAACACTTTTCATTAAGCTCGGTCCTGCTGCCTCCAACCGGAGTCGAGTTATCCCCTCCCTACTGCAACCTTAGCCACCCTTGCCTACATTCCTTTTTTTCTCCAGCCCCTACTCTTCTAGAGCACGGCCAGCTCTCTTCGCACTCGTCCTTTACCGAGCACAACGTGCAACCAACGACGATGAACCAACGGCGAGGAACGGCGAGGAACGGCGAGGAACGGTGAGGAACGGCGAGACACGGCGAAATACGGCGAGGTACGGCAAGGAAAATGGTTCCCCAGACAAGCGTTTAATCTGGCTCTAATTAGCAACTTACCCTCCGCCCACGTCTCAACGTTTCACCTACCCTCTCTTCCTTTCCTGCAGCTTTCTTCTCTATCTCCCTTTATCATCCCC